TCCAAGATATAAATAAATAGCAAAATAAAAATGTTAGGAAACAGGGAGACAGATCTTTTACAGATGGGAAAGGACTCATAGATGGAAAGGGAGGGAGAATGCAGGGAAGAGGATACACAAAACTGTGATCCATTATGGACATGTACCTCAAGGAATGTAGTCAGTAATGTTACAGATTGATTAGTGATCCATAGCAATACATTTGAAGTAGAGTCACATGTGAGGCTTTTCCCATGAAGTGAGACTTGAGGAACATTTTTATTTGCACATATTAGCACACACTCCCACGCTGCACTGGTACCCAGCACACAGCCCCAGCTGCATCCCACAGATGTGGCTCCTGAGCCAAAGTCCTCCTCATCCCACATCCTGGCACCGGGAAGATGCCCTGAAGGTAGCCCAGCCCTGAGCACTTCCAGCTGTTGCTCCAATCCCAGCCAGAGTAAGTGAGATGGCTATGCCCTATTGCTGCAATTAGCATGTGCACAAACTAAATGAGCAATGATGACAAAACAGCCCACTCTTCTGGCCTATGGATGCCCCTGAGTCTCTGGGAGGTTAGCTGTGGTCCTCTCAGATGATTTTAGCTAAAAACACTGAGGTTGAGACTGGACTGGCAGAGTGTTTCCCTCAGCTGTTGGGTGACTGTGGAGAGCTAAACCCAGTATGACTGACCATTGCTAATATGGAACAGAGTGAAGCCCATCTCTAACCACTCGCCCATGGCGGCTCTGAGCAAAGCAAATGCCACTGGGACGTGGGCCCAGGCCACAGGGAGCCAACCCGCCAGACTGAGCAGCCATGGTGTGTGGCGCCTGGCGAGGTGCCCTCCTCCCCGCCTGGCCTCAGTGCCCCAGGCTCCCTTGATGATTTCATTAGCTCAGTCTTCATGTGTCAGGAAAGGTCAGCTCCTGCCTCCCTTCCAGAGCTGGCCTCAAGCTCCTAGTCAAGAACAGGAGAAGATGCAGGGCAGGAACCCTGGGCTCAGGTTTGGCTTCATCCTCTGCTTACTTGAGGCAGGACTGAGCCCTGAAACACACCAAATAGATCCAAGACCCTAGTGCACTTAGGAGAAATCACTAGTGCACTGGCGACTAACAGAAAGTTGGAAAAAGGCTTCCAGGACCAGAACCTAGCAGACATTTGGCCATTACACATCCCTGACTGTCCTATTCCATTTTCATTCCAGTGGCCTCTCTCTCCAGCACAGGTCTCACGACTATAAAGGAACCCCTCTGTTATTATACCTCATTTCTTGGATTTTGTCTACACACTCAGTTTTTAAAAAAAGCCTAGCATTCCAGCAAACTGGAATCAGTCATTCCCTCAGCACATCCGTGGGTAGTTCTTTCACTGTTTAGTCCTTTAGTGGACTAAAGATGAGCCTTTGCAGAATGGGTCTCTCACCACTGTTCATCATAAAACCACCACCATGTCCTACACCTCTTAAAAACAAGTTCAGGGCTCTCCCAAGCCAACAAATTAACGTAAGTCCAGTGCCAAAGTGGTAGGTGATGGTCCCAGGATGCTGAGTAAATGCAAATGCAAAACTGCTCTGCTGAGCTATTTCCCAACCCTGACCATGCACAATTTCTACAGAGGAGATCGTAGTGCAAATGCTTTCATGGTCAAACACTGCAGAACATACACAGAGATAAGTCACTGAACAGGAGCAAGCAAGGGGCTGGGGATTTAGCTCAGCGGCACAGTGCCTGCCTGGCAAGTGTAAGGTTGTGAGTTCGATTTCCAGTACCGGAAAAAAACAAAAACAAAAACAAAAACAAAAAAGAACAGGAGCAGGCAGACACGACACAGCAAGAGGATTAGCACTCCCCAAACCCAAGCTAATGGAACCACCTGAAAAAGTCTACAAAATAAATATATTTAAAATAAGAAGAGAAATTAAAGAGAAATAGAAGTCATAATGAAACACCAAGGAATCATGAAATTAGGACAGAAAGATTTGAAATGCAAGAATGAGACCTTTTTGAAATTGGTAAACTATATAAAGCCATTAAAATTTACAAAGTAAGGGATAGGTTTGACACTTATTGACAAAGTCATACTTTAAGGAAACCACCAGGATGCAGTACAAGTGAATAAAGTACTAAAAGGTATGAAAGAGAGAATAAGACACAAAGAGCCAAAAATAAAAATGACATATAGATACAAAGACAGACACATGTTTATGTATACACACATGCACACATGCATATGTAAAGCATGTTCCAAGCGAAAGGGTGGAAAAAATAGGGCTGTACCACCTCAAGAGCATTTTTGGATAAGTTTTTAGAATTAAAGAGAAATCTTAATTTTTGACTTTAATCTTAAAAACACATATACACAACACATGGCAAAACCCACAATGAGCTTTCAAACAGATAAGTAAAATCAATCCATTCTTAGAAAACTTACGATAGACATGCAGAACAACTAGGAAAAAAGAAAAAGTTAAGGACAACTAGAGAGAAAGAAAACATAGTAATTGTCCTCAAATTGGTCTATGCATTGCATGCACAATTTCACAAGGATTTTTCTTGTAAATATAGACAAATTGATTTTAAACCTTATATGGACAGGCAAGCAAGTTAGAATAGATAAAACAATTATGAAAATAATAAAGTTGTGAGAGTCATACTACTTTGAAGAATTACTATAAAGCATCAGCAAGCAAGATCGCATGATACTGGCGAAGGAACATCAGATCAAGGGAACAAAAAGGAAGTCCAGAAATTGACCCACATAAATACACCTATGGCTAATTTTTTCATTGCTGGGAAGGAAACCCATGGGCATGTGTTCCTATTTACATGATATTCTCAAAATCATAAAACTATAGTGATCCAAGCAGAACAGTGGTTACAGAGCTGGGGGAGGGTATAGCTCTGAATGATGCTGAGACTATTTGACATCTATACAAAAAGGAAAAAAAAAACAAACCTTGTAAAAAACTCAAAATGGATCATAGATCTACATATAAACGTGAAACTGTAACACCTTAAAAATGTATAGAGAGGGAAATCTTCCTGTTCTAGGGTTAGGCAAGGAATTCTGGAATGTAGTACTAAGGCATGACTCATAAAGGTAAAAAAAAAAAAGGACAAATTAGACTTCGTTAAAATTTAACATTTTTGTTCTGCAAATGGCATTGTCAAAAGAATACACAAGATAAGCTAAGATGGGGAGAAAATATTTGCAGATTTCATAGCCAAGGAAGAATTTGCATTCAGAATGTGTAACCAACTCAAATTCAACAATGAAAATAAATAACTCAGTTTAAAAAGGGGCAGAAGACTTGAACAAACAGTTTCCCCCAAAGGACATTTGGATGACAAAGGAGCACATGAATAAATGATTCACATCATAATCTTCTACTCATACAGAAACTTGAACACAAATACTCATAGCAGCTCTATTAGTAACAACTGCAAAGTGGATACAATCCAAGTGTCTCTCAATAAGTGAGTGCATAAATGATCTGTGACATATCCATGCAGTGGAATCTTATTTGGACACAAAAAGGGGTGGAGTACTGACTGATACACACCACTTGGGTGGATTTCAAAGGTTTATGCCAGTCTCAAAAGCCAATATGCCATGTGTTCCTATTTACATGATATTCTCAAAATCATAAAACTATAGTGATCCAAGCAGAACAGTGGTTACAGTGCTGGGGGAGGGTATAATTCTGAAGGAATAGCAGGACTGAATTTTGGAGGTGATGGACCTGTTCTCTATGTTGATTGTGGTGGTGATCACATGAATCTATACATGTGCTAAAATGGATAGAACTATACATTATCTCTAACCAAACTGAACTGTATGATACATTTTTAGAAACATTTGCAAGTGTATAATTTCCAAACCAGTAGGAAGAAAAAACTAAACAAGACCAGTGAACTAGACACTAGAAGGAGGAACAGCAAGAATCCAAATGAGCGATGACTTACGGGTGCCACTGCCGGCCAATGGCTATCTCTGAGGAGGAAGTGAGGGGCTTAGGGGGAGACATTGTCTTACTTCTTTTTAAAAAGATGTATCTAACAATCCAAATGTCCATAAATAGATGAACAGGTAAGCCAAATGTGAAATACACATCAATAGTATATTGTTCAGCCATAAAGCAGTAAGTCCTGATACAAGCTACTGCATGGATATATCTTGACACCATAATGCTATATGAAGGAAGCCATATACATAAGAGGACAAATACTGTATGATTCCAGTTATGTGTTAGTCATTTTTTAGTTGCTTGGACAAAGTACCCCAAATATACAACTTAAAGAAGAACTTTATCTTGGCTTATGGTTTCCAGAGGGTTAAGTTCATGGTTGGCAGGCTCCAAGATAGAAATAGCCTGGTGGAAGAATATGGCAGATAAAAGATCTTCACTTTATAATAGCTGAAGGCAGAGAGAGCAGGACGAGCCAGAGCTCTGCTTAACCAACTGTTTCTTGGGAAAGGAACTAGACATCTTTGAGAGCCAACTCCTCATCTTATACCTTTCCTCTGCCCTTCTCTGGGTTCTAGGGGCATCAAAACAGCACACTACATAAGGGCAATGTAGTCTAAAGGATGATGGATAAATGTATGATTATCATGAAGCCCCATGAAGTATCTAGAAATTCTACAGATCTCATCATGATCAAAGTTTGGACCCTTTTTCCTCCAAGACTCACTGTGGGCACTGCTCACCAGTGTCCCCAGGTAGGTGGAATTTGGGTCACTGCTTGTAGAAAGCACAGGGAATCACAGGAGGAAATGGGCCACCAGCTGAAGCCCAGGGCTGGGATAGTTATTCTGTAGCTTGTATTCCAATATGTTTTGTGCTTCCGATGTGCTCTGGGGAGAACCCAAACAATTAAAGCCAAGGGATCTTCCTGTTGGAGAGGGTAGCACGGCCCAGAGTAGTGTGCACCACTCCATGAATGTCTCTAACAAGTCTGTGAGATACTCACTCATGCCTCATCCCCTCAGGGCCAAGGTTGGAGGCCACTCACCGATGCTGGCGGAGGTGTACTGGTAGGGCTCTGAGAGGAAGTGCGGCAGGGTGAGGACAAAGGCTCCTGCAGCCAGGAGGAGACCCCCGATGCCGATCAGCTTTGGTCGGTGTACCCGGCTGCCAAAGTAGCTAACAAAGATGATGAGGATGGCATTGCTGATCTGCAGAGAGAGCAGAGGGGTGGAGTGAGACCCCAGAGGAGACCTGATCAGACCTTGCTCAGAAAACTTGGAGTGGGAAGACGCTGCCTAGTGTCAGTGGTCCCAGCGGAGCTACCCTCACTACGTCCAAGAGCCTTGCAGCCTTAGCTTTCCTGCTGTCATCAGAAACCTGTCCCCACCTTCCAAACCAGAACAAGGGAAGGAAGTAGCTAGCTGGAAACATGAAGGGCTCTTAGGTTAAATATCAACCATTTCCCCCCAAATCTTTTGAGGAAAAATCCAAGCAAGTGTCCAGTTCTGGCTGGCTCCTAGGAACAACATGAGTCCCCTAATAAAAGCCCTAAATCTAATCAGATCTTAATGAAAGGATCCAAGGACTCTGAATTGGTAAACAGAATAACAACCAAGCAACACACATTGCCTCACTTCACCATGCAACAACCCTCATTTTACAGATGACAAAGGTAGCAGGTCCGCACTCACAAGGTCAGGAGGTATCTTAAACTAGGGTTGCCTGACTTTATCATGCCCAGGCTTCATGACAGTGGTCTGCTGCCTCTTGGAGAAGTGGGTTTCTGCCCTAACAGCTCTGCTTCTAACCTGTCCCCGTCCTTCCCTGGGCCAGTGTTCACTTGTGTAAAATGAGGGATAAGGACTGCAGTGCTCCTGCGTCCCATCCTGGAAACATTATTCTATGTTTCTGGGGCTTCCTGGGAGGTGAGCTCTCCGGCCCAACCTCTTGAATCCTTTCCCTCTGCAACTTTATCTTTCTTCATAGCACTTACCAGGATCTGATTTACAGAAGCTTCATCACTCTTTGTAAGTAAACAGTACCTTATCCTTAGACTCTTGTCTAGCTGTTCATCTTGCCTCCCCAGCACCTGGCACACAGGTCTTTAACCTAGGTGTCAAGTCACTGAAGAAATGAACCAGCACAGGTAGGCTGTGTAGAAAAGAACACAGACCCAAGGACCCCTTGCAGCACGGCTAAGAGTGAGGCTGTGGGACCTAAGAAGAGTGCCAGGGCTGTGAGGAATTGGCCTGGAGTGCCTATGGCTTCTGCTCCAGCCCTCGCCAGAGGCGGTTCCCGGACATTCCAAAACCTGTGCCTGGAAAGAGCTTTACTCTTGTGCTTAAATTTTGCATTTTTCCTTCTTGCTTCTGCCTCATTTTCCATGAAGTGATGGATATGTGAGGATACTCAGTTCTGTTGACTAAGGCTAGCTTCAAATGGTCTGTGGGAGAGGTGGTGGAGGACCTTAGAGGGCACTTGGCCTCACGTGTTCACTAAGCCCTTCCTCCTGCTCCTGCAGTGCACACCCAGCCTGTGCCCTGAACCTCACCTGTGGCCCCAGGAGGCTTTCTGAGAGTGACCTGCTTTCTTAGATTGACTGGCCTGTGCGTTGCTCAAACCCACTGTGGGTTCCATGTCCCGGTGGCCTTACCGTCCCCTGCAGTGGGCTGCATTCTGCTCACACTCTCAGGGCACACACACACGCATGCACACACACACACAGTCACACATGGTCACATATAAATCCTTAAACACTCATGTACACACACAGACACACACAAATACACATGCAGGGAGGCACACACATGCTCACACATAAAACCCTCAGACACCTACAGATGTGGGGTTATGCATACATACAAACACATACCTACGGTCATAACAAATACTCAGACACACATATAGGTATATATAGACACATACATAGCCACAGATAAGCACACATAGACACACATAGGAGCACTCAAATACAAAGTAATAGATGAACACATATAATGCAGAGGCACACAAATTTACATACAGGCAGAAAAACAGACATATAGACACAGATACACACACACATAGTCACACAAACACACAAATACACACAGACAGTCACAAAAATCCACAGATAGGTACACACACATGCACAGCGTCACACACACAGACATATATTCACACACACAAATATATACATAGACACATAGCTACACATAAATACCCAGATACCCACAGTTACACACACACACAACTGTTGGGTCAAAGGAATGAACTCTCTGATGGTATCTGCCTCAAATTGTGCCCACAGGCATGATCTTGAAAAGGTTAGATTCTTGAAAATTTATCTGAGCTTGAGAAAGAGATTTAATAGTTATTTTCATTTTGATTGAACCATAGCCCTGAGGAAGTATCATGCCCTGTATTTGCCTAATCAACTTTCTATCTTACATAGACCTGCAACGTGTCCCAGCTGGTTACTCCTTTCCCCTGGAGAACATTCAGTTATTCCTGGACTCTTGCTTTTGTTCTAAGCATGGGACAACATGGATAAAAACTCAACCGTGGGAAGTCACGGCTTTGGCTGTCATCTGGGCTGAGCTGGAAGAGAGGATACCTTCCATGCCAGCTCTGACTCTCATTAGAAGAGGGCCTGGAACACTGAGATGGGAAGATTAGGAGGCTGTGTCTGGACTCAGTAGGAGAGAGGACTCCTCCTGTGAGGTGATGTATGGTTAGAAATGCACAGGATGGGACTGTGGTGACACCAAAGTCAGAGATTTGTTTCCTTGCTGTCAGTCATGAATGAAGACATGCACTAGGGCATGATCCAAGTCAAAGGCCAAGTTAAGAGTGCACTCTGTGTCCCAAAGTAGAGAACAGTCTGCCTCCAGGTGCACGCCCGGTTCCCACTCCGCTGCTCTCTGCACTGTGGTCAGGGCTGTACACAAGTGGGGACAGTGTCCCAGGACACCCTCTCACCTCGTTCAAGCTGGAAATGAGGCCCGAGGAAGAACTGGAGAGCCCGAAGCGCTTCTCAATGGTGGTGAGGCTGCTCTTGAAGTAGGCGCTATACAGGAGCTGGCAGAGCTGCAGGAGGCCGTGGCAGAGCACAAATACCTGAGGAAATAGAGGACGTGCTGTGAGGCCCTTGCGCAGTGAGCCCTGGCCCCTCCAAGCCCTCCATTCTGGGCCTTTGTTTCCTCATCCATCACATAGAGACATTTATAAGATGGTCAGAAGGTGAAAGGCTGTCACTGCTACACCACTGTTCACCCCGCTGGAGGTACAAACGCTAGCCACTCTTATCTTTACTGCATCTTATTAGAGTTATTGTAAATAGCCCAATAAAACTACAGGGAAGGACATTCCCAGGGGAAAGGCCTGGCATCAGCCAAGCATCTATGCTTGGACGTTCCAGCTTGGACTGCTCTCCAGTAGCACCACAGTACCCCGTGGGCTGCTGGCCTGCCTTCCTGGTTATTTTTATGTTGAGTGACCATAGCCCCGAGGAAGTACCATGTCCCTCAGAGGGCCATCCTGTGCCCTTAGAGGGCTGTAGGTTACTCCTCACCCAATTCAAACCACTCACAGCAGCAGCAACACGTCCTGAGTCATGTTGCTCTGCTTCTCCTGACCTCCAGGACCAACTCTTATGTCTCCAGTAAGGCACTGTGACACTGTCCCCAGGGCCTGCTTGGAACCAGTGTCCCCCACTTACACCCTCACCATGCTTGTTACCACCTCTCTTCAGGGACATCTGGCCTCTCACCAGGGCTATCTGTGATTGGACTTATTTGCCTCTGGAGGCATGGTCAAGGCCTTGTACCACCCTGCCCCATATGGCCAGTTCTCTGAGTTCTGAGTCAGTGTGTGTTCCACGACTGACAACACAGACAGATGTCAGACAGAAGAGAAGCGGGATTTGATGGGATTTTTGGTGAGCAGCAGGTTGAGCTCTATACCCTCCTCGGTTCTGAGCTATTGGACCAGGCCTGAACAGGTCTTGCACCAAAAGTCCCACATCCTCAAACAGCCCCTAGAAAGTGTCCTTCTGGGTCACACTTTTCCTTCAAGGGAGGGTGGGGTGGTGTTACGTTTCATAGTTGGCCAAAGTTCTTCCCTTAATTGAAAGCCTGCGTCTCAGAAGAGCAGCTGGGGCTCTGCTTTCATTTCCATTTTCTTCTGAAGCTGAGCCTACCTCTTTGCACAGGCCCTTGTCCCAGGCCGTGCAGTTTCCTACCTGTGAGGGGCACAGACTTACACAGTGAGGCCAGCCTGGGACTTCTGACAGAGCCCGAAATTCACGGGCTGTCCATGCATCTATACTTGCAGCCTCCAAATCTGAAAAAGTCATTATAGCCAGGAAATTCGATGTCTCTCCAGACTGCACCTCCCTCTGACTCCTGCAGCCACCTCACCCCTCACCAGAAGGAAGCCTGCCTCCCTGGAGGCAGAGGTGGCTCAACTGGAATTCACTTCAAACATTACATTTGTCTTAATATTTTGTAATAAAGGTGTGGAAAATCACCTTGTCTCATTTTTTTCTTCACATAAAAGGGAAACTGAGGTCCAGAGCTGGGGAACCTGAGTGCCTAGCACCATAATGGGAGTTTTGGGAACTTAAGTATCAGTCACTTGAGATGCTTAGAGTCAGTTCTCCTTTCCTGGGCCCTTGGTTTCCCTAGTAGGGAGGTAACTGGTCTTAATCAGTGGGTTTTAACTCAGCTTTAAAAAGTCAAAACTGCCTGAATAGAGGAAGCAGAGGTATCTTTGACATAGAACCTAGGTCCAATCCAAGACCAACTGAGTCAAAGCTGGTAAGAGCAAATTCATTTAGAAGAGTTCCTCCAGCAGTCTGGTGGGCAAAATGGGTTACAATCACTGGATGAGAGGACATGTTCTGGCCCCGAGCATCTATGTACAAAATGTAATTGATGGAGCATTAGAAGGGAAAAGCAAACCAAATACAGAATTCTCCTAATTTAGAGGAGCTGCCATTACAGGCAGAAGGGAGGACAAGAGCCTTGGAACAGGCTTTTGGGAAAGCACATGTGATGGCGATGTGAAGCTGCTGGTTAAGGTGTTGGTGAAGTGATGATGATGGTGAAGAAGGGGAAGATGATGCTGAGGGTGGTGAAGGTGGTGGTGGTGATGGTGACAGCAGTGAAGGTGACAGTGAAGGTGAAGATGAAGGTGCTGGTGATAGTGATGGAGGTAGTGAAGGTGATGGTGGTGATGGTGAGGATGATGGTGGTAAAGTGGATGGTGATGATGTTCGTGGTGATGATGGTGAAGATTTGGTGCTGGTGATGGTGGCAGTGACGGCAAAGATGATGGTGAAAGTGATGGGGTTTGTCAATATCTGATTATTTTCCCTGCATACAGGGCACTAAAAACACTCAAGACCAGATTATTTTCTGAGTCAGGCCAGACTTGAGAAAGAGGCAATTTAATCTCAAATGCCTTGATGCTTTTCCTTCTCTGACTTCTCCCTAAAGGCTAATTCCTCCAAGGCTCCACAGTCCCCTTCGCCGGACATGCTCATAAGCAGCCCCTTTCACCTGTAAGATAATGGTACCCAAATCTCAGTTTCTCTTCCAGAGCTGGGCCACCCCACTGTGTGCTGGCTATGTGAACGTCCTCAGACCCTTCTGACTAATCACTTTCTGAGTGGGACTCACTGACTTCCCTCATAGACCCTGCCCTTCTTACTTCATTCCCTATCACCTTCACTCAGTTCCCACATTAGAAACCAAGAATCATCCTAGACGCCCTCCCCAACCCCCACCATTACTCTATTACCAGATCCTATAATTTCTTTCTGGTTTCTTTTACACTTGACCCCAGTTTTCATCTCCAAGTACATATCTTGATGCAGGCTCTTACCATTTCTCCCCTAGATACTGTATCTCCCACAGGTCTCTTGTCTGCCTCTCCAAATGTCCCACCAAACCACCCCAGAGATATCTCAAAGGGTTACATGAACAGATCATGCCGAAATCAGTGCCTCTCGGTTCCTACAAGACAAAATCCAACTTCCTTGGTGCAATACCCTTGATGCTATAGATCTACACCCTGCCTGTCTACCACTTGGCTCTATGCCCTGATGCGGCAAATCACCTTTAACAAAGACGGCCACACCAGCATCTCCCATCCACATGCCCTTCACACAGAGTGACGGCAAAACTCCCTCAAGAAGCAGGGTGTGTGTTCTACCCTTTGAATGTGTGCCAATCTTAACATCTTGCTCTAATGAGATGAAGCAGAAACACCATGCAACTTCTGAGGCTTGGATCTCATCATGGGTAGAGAATCTACCTGGTTTGTTCTCCCTTCAAACCCTCAGAACTTGAATATCACATCACAAGGAAGCCCCGCTGTCTTTATGTAAGGGAAGGCCACATATGGGAAGCCGACAAGTCCAGATAAAGTTTCAGCCCTTAGCCAGCAACATCTGCCAGACATGTTACTGAATGAGTCTTCAGATGATTCCTGTCCTGGCCTTTGATGCCAAGCAAAGCAAAAAGTGTCCTTGCTCACAATCTAGACAGGACCATCTTTCCTTTTGCTGTCTGTATTACTGCTCTGCTTTTCAGAAGCCCCTTTTCCAGCACGTGACTCTGTTGTGTGTCTAGTTCAGGTTGCTTCCAAAAATCTCAGTCCCTGTTGCTGACTTCTGCAGAGTCATCTCTGTGCATGCTGGCCTGGTACATGCCGGTAGCACAAGTAACATCCCGCAGAGGAGTGAAGGTTGTCCTAAGGAGGGCTGGGCCTGAAGCCAGGCCAGGCAGTGGGCATGTGGGCAGGGACCAGGTCAGGGGCTCCTTTAGAAGTTTCACTGTCAATGATTCCCAGTGGAGAAAGAGAAAGGGCTGCATTTCCAGCCTGAGGGCCAAGAAAGGGCAAATCCATTCTGCAGACGGGGCTCAGGAGGAGACGTGTCCATCAAGAGGAGGGACAGTGAGTTCATTTTTGGAGCACTTGAGTTTCTGATTAAACTCAGAAAAGACCAATCTCTCTCCATCCAAATTAGCAATAAATGAACATGGACTGATTAACCATTACCAACTCCCTCAGCCATCTCACGAAAGGAAGATGGGAATGGTGGGAGAGAAAATCTATCACAGATTTTCTCCTGAAAGATCTGTCTTTGCTATTTCTAGTAAGCACAGAAATTCCCTATCTCTTCCCCTGAGCTACTAGGTGGAAGACTCCCGCAACACCGAGCTGGCACCTCGACACATCCTTGCCCCAGCAGAGCCAACCTCACTGCCGGCTCTTGGCCACTGCAATCACCGGGGCCTAGCCATCTCATGGGTGTCCTGGCAGAAATGCTGGTATAGATCTGTGCCTCCAGGTCCCACTGGATGCAGCAGATTTTGTGGCTTCATGGAGCAAAGGGCAGGAGGACAATTTCAAGAAAAGAGAAAGCAATAGATGGGTGGTTAAGCAGAGCTTTCTGGCCAGGGGCCCTCAAGGTCATATTTGGCCTCGCATATGGTTTTATGTGGGTGGTGCCCCACATTCGTGATTCTGGCAGCTCAAACCTGTCAAATACCCATTGTATGGCCAGCAGGAGATGGAACAAGGGACCTCTGGCACAATGCAAAAGAATAGAAATCCAACCCTAGAGAGGACAAGGGTTTAAAAGCACATGGAACACAGGGCATGGTGGCACACACCTGTAATCCCAGTGCTAGGGAGGCCGAGGGACAAGTGCCATGAGTTTGAGGCCAGCCTGGGCTACATAGCCTGGGCTACATAGTGAGACCCTGTCTCAAAAAACAGAAACAAAAATAAAACAAAAAAAGTGCGAGGAGACAGATTGGTTCGGTAAAAGCAAGAAAAGTTGTGTTAGGTGGGCTGCAATGCCCACACCCCATCATTATGGCCACACACAGTGTTCTGGGTCGTGATGGTTCGAGGTTTGGAGTCAAAGAGGCCTAGGTTCAGACTCCGGGTCTGTAAAGAATGGCAGGACTTTCAGCCATTCGCCTGGCCACTCTGAGCAGCAGTTTCCCAACAGTAAAAAGGAACTCTTAACATTTGGGTTGCAAGGACTGTGCCAGAAAAATGTAGTTACAGCACCTGGCACCCTGCCTGGCCCACATGGAAAG